CTAACTTCAGCACTACGTACTAAAGTATATTTTACGCATTTTCAATAAAAAAAAATCAGGCAAATGAAAAGTGGCTACGCAGCTTTTTTCATGCACTTCAATATTTTCCACAACTTTCCAACTGTTAGTTGTACGTATGCAATACAGTTCCGAAAAACTTCTTCTTTGTTTCTAGTTTCAGCCATCAACCCATTCCAACGTACCTATATATATAAACAGTCGACAACGGGAAGGAAGTAGTTTTTTTAAGTCCTTTTTTTGGTAGCCAAAGGCCATCGAATGGAATGAGAAAAACTTTTCCAAAAACCATTTCAAATGCAAATATGTAATAAGTAAGGATGTTCTTTGCATACATATGCATATATTTAAGTACATGTGTATGTTTTACTAAGTAGTGTGTATAGGCAAACTTAGAGTAAGGGTTCTAATATATATATGTATGTATGTACAACATTGAGGATAGGTCTATCTAAGGATAAGCAAATAATTTCAATTTACATAAAGCGCTTCAAAATTAACCAGCTTTAAAAAGTATGCCAGATTAGAACCATGCACACATTTGGGTCGAAAACTTCCGACGACATAGGAGCAGACATCTACTACACCAGAGCTAGGATATTGGTGCCAATTGAAAAGGATGGGACTGATTGGTCTGAAATCCTTCGGAGATAGGTACATTATTTCGCTTAGATTCATCCATAATTTGGATTATATGCAGTTGGGAGAAATTATAAACCGACTCTCAAAAAGGCTTGAAACTATTAATCGTCCAGTGGAGACAACACATTTACAGCCTCTATCTATCTATCTAGGTGTGCAAATCGGCCGAATTGATACCGGTTAGAACTTGATTGGAAAATCGGTATTGAGAAGTGCTTTTTTTTATCTAAAAAGAATTTTCTAAGTAATTTGTACAAATAAAAAATCAGATACGTAAATACATATACTTACATATCTGTTTGTGGACCATACACATTCAACGCAATTAATACAATGAAAGTATAAGAGTAGTTTTCAGTTAGAGAACATAACCATGAAAAAAATATATTTGCATTAATTGGAGATAAATCCTTCGAATTGATTTATGCAAAAATTCTACCAAATATTTTTTGAGTTGTGTTCCTTTTGTCCTAAAACATGGTAATATACATATATGTACGTATGGTGTGTTAACTTTACTGATTTAACAATTGGATTTCTACTACACTCTTCGACACAGAGCGGCACAGGTAAGCTTGTCCTCATGCGGTGTCACGCTAACACGCTTTTTCTTTTAATTCCTCATGTTTTTTTTTTTTACAAGGAGAATGCATCGAAAGCCTAACCTTGTAGCGTGGAATTTATATCCAACACTTAAACTCCTTGTCTGTCCGGTGTGTCGTATACCCCCCCGATACTACCGTCATGTATTTCTTCGAGAGGCGGTTTGAGCACTAAGCTTGATCGTACGTTCCTGTATTAGCGCAGTTCATCATAAGTCACACTAGCTGGGCACCCACCTACTGTAAATCTCTTAACACACCCTCTCCCTCCGTCATAATCCGCAGCATTTGTTTCTGCTCCACACCCCCTCATTTAGGTCAAGAGTCAGAGCCGTGCGTACGTGGAATCATTCCTGTTTACAAAGCGTTTAAGATTCCATTTCAATAGAACACGGAAAAAATTGCAGGTCTGTGGCGGAGATATTGCTCTACAACCTCCCACTTCTGGGAGCTCACAGGCGTCAATATGTTTTTACACAGGCTCGAGGCTATTATGATGCGAATGAAAGCCGCCGCAGCATATGGTTAACCAGCAGCTGAGCTACTCAAGTGGATACATATGGCGGAGAGGAGCTAGACACCGCAAGAATGCATGCAAAAGCACAGCTCGGTTTAGGCCCTACTTCTGGGCACCTACGAAGTGAGCGACAACTTTGATACTAACGCCTCTTTTCCATTTAAGTAGGACAATATAGTTAAATATCCTTTACAAGTCTTTACTAACATCTTTGGTCTGTTTTTGTTTGCCCCAAATTGATGGAAGCTTCCTTTTTGGATGTTGAATATAAGCACACACACATATTATGTACATTAGGGTGGTAAAAAAAAAAAGTAAAGTCGGAATTTTAATGCTCTCACCCCCTATACCCTATAAAATATGAAATCAAATCAATCGCTTAAGGTTTTCAATGTGTTTTATATGGGAAAAACAACTTCTCGTAGAAATGGTAAAGAATTATTGAAAATCAATATTTTTTCGATCGGAAAACTCTGGTTATCTTTAAGAGACTTCCAATAATAATATCCAATTGTCTATTTAACCGTTTTTAATTCTAAAGATTTTTTATTGCTAAAGGTTCAGAAATGCAGGTACTATTTGCTAATTTTTTTTTAGCTATATATTGGGCACTTTTGGCACGGGTTGACTCAGTTTTGACACTTGTGATAGAATAACTTATATTTACGCTCTAATTACCGAAACAGCCCGAAAAGCGTGTTGGAAATGCATGTCCAACGCATGTCTTCACAGCTTGATAGGGTACGTGAGCTCCATTGATTTGAAAACACCTCCAAAACTAGAGTTTGTTATAAGTAAAATTAGTAAAAAAAATAAAAATTCCAATTTTTACAGTTATTTCCATATCGGTCCAGCGCACGCAAATCTTTATATTTTTTCCTAAATATTTTGGCGAGTCTTAAAATTAATAATTTTTATAATACCGTAATTTCTTTTTTTGGGTGAGGCATCCTAATGTGCATACACAAGGTATGCTGCTACGGTTGAGAATCTGTAATTTTATTTGATTCCATTTAAATGTGCAGCTGTTTGAAAATGATATACTTAAGCACCCTCACAAGGACATTAATATACTACATGTATGTATGTACTTACACATACGCTTATTTGTAGATATTTGCATATCCTGTACGCATGAGTGTCCTTTACAAATGGACCTGTGTTGAAGGATGTTGTTGCTGACTGATGTATGTGCGTCAAAGATAAAAAAGGACCTGAGACTATCACTCGCCGCGCCCAGCTGTTAGCTGTTGCTTGTTTAAAAGCTTCCCTCAGTCTCTATTTATAAATCAGTGTGTGTGTGTGTGTGTTAGTATTTAATGATATGCACATAAGGATGTTGAAATTATTTAAATTTGCCAAAACTTTTCTTTTAACTCTTCACTCATTCCGTATTATTTAGTTTTTGTCCAATACGAGTATTCTGTTGACAAGAAAAGTAAATTCGTTTTCAAATGTCTGGAGGTACTTTTGGACAACGTGTGAATGTATTGACTACATACTTATTTATATATGTATAAATGTAAAGGCTAGTGAAAGGTAGGATTCTACGAAATTTGGAAAAGTTATGAGTAGCTTAAGCATTTCCTTTTTTGATTTTGTTTCGTTGCGATCAAGTATGCACAAATAAATGTAAAGTTTTGTGGGCGAAACTAATGCAATACGGGTAAATCGTTGAGGTATACTACTTTTAAACCGACGTCCATACGCAATTGCAAAAGCGCAAAGAAGTTCGCAATGATTTTACCGAAATTTATGTTGGAAGGAAAATGCCTCTTGCAAATGAGTTAGACAAAGTCTTTTGTTCGACATTCCACCTTCTTCGGTGCCTAACGTACACGTGAATAGATCCATAGGTCTTGCGTAGAATAGTTCTGTCAAGAGCGCGCAAAACCTTTTATTTTATTTTGAACAGGTACGTAGCAGTAGCAGAGCAGCTGTTTTAATTTTTTTTGCGAATTTCGTCTTTAAATTTTCATTTTTGTTTATATTTTACTTTAAAGGGTTTTAAATCCTTTATCTTTTGTAGAAAAAATGGCAAAACCGTATAATTTGACGACAAAAAACAACAAAAAAGAAAACAATTAAAAGAAACGTAACGTCCGCAACGCCAGGATTTGCCCATATACATATACATACAAGGTGAATTCATATATGGTGGTGTTACTAGAACAACTGATTTGATATTTTTGTCTCTACACTAGTACGGCAGAATGTCAGACAATACGAAATGGCACCACTAATGCAAAAAAAAAATCGATAACAAAATACAAGGAATTTTTACTGATATGCCATTGCTACCACCTTATATGAAATCGCCTTTAATACATAGTCAGTAAGAGATAAAGCTTTCTCTTTCCGTTGACATTCATATTTTATTATTTCATATGACTTGGGTATAACTTAGCTAAATTCGAATTTTCATACAGGTGGCAACTATTTTCAAAAGTATCTTGAAACTAAAATCGTCCTAAATCTCCTTCTTCTGACATTGTGATACGTATTTGAATTAACTGATGAATTATGTTGAATTAATGTATGTATGTATGTTGAATTAAATTTTTCAAATACATGACAACTCATCTAAGTATAGTTCAAAAAGAAAGTATTTTCAATACCTCTTCGATCGGTACAAATCACACTTCATGGAGAGCTGCGCCATCAATGGTTGGGGCCAGTTACTTTTCGACTTCCTTATTAGCACTAAACTCGTTATATGCAATAGGGGCAACGACCCCACGTTTATCACCAAAGATCGACAGGAGGTATTAGATGTCACTCTGGTCTCGGAGAATGTGTGGAGCAGCTAATAGGGAACTGGTTCTCCAGGAGCACTGCTTTTCCGATCACCGATATATCCAATTCGATCTAGGCCAGACTGAACAGAAGGAACCCCCAAGTAATACTAGGAATATTAAAAATACGGATTGGCAAGTACATATATAGGCAAGAGTTAGGGAAACTTCTATCCCCAAACCTTGCTCCAGGCACACGCGAAAATTGGAAGGAACTGTTAAACGGTCTTGCAGGCGCATGTTGTAGGGCACTAAATCAAGTTTGCCCAATTAGGAAGCGCAGAGGTAGGAACAACCCACATTGGTGAGTTCAGGAAATAGGGGGTCTGCGAATGTTTTGCAGGAAGTCCTTAAATCTAGCCACGTTTTCCAAAAGTGAGCAGCACTGTAAGGCGTA